TCCTGAATAGTAAGTGCCAAGACATTTATGGGCTGGTGGGCTGTTTTTTCTCAAGTCTTAAAATTGCACATTCCCATTGGACAAAGCTACATCAATGATGTGGGCTATTGCCAAGATTAAATATAATTTATTTTTAACAGCTATATTTTGAAGAACTATGACATCCAATATTTCTCAATGAGAGATATTGATCACCTTGGAATCCAGAAAGTTATGGAAAGAACATTTGAACACCTGATGGGCAGGTAACTGTATAATTATGTCAGATCAGACAAACTCCTTAATAACCAGTTAGCACATTAGGGAATCTCTAATCGACACAAATTTAAATTACTCTAACTGCTAGTCATTTGAGCTTCAGCATTTGCTTCTCTGGAAAGTTATTTCAATAGAAGGAAAAATAAATTATCACTGGTGAAATGTAGTTAACAATCCTGTCAACAGAATACACACACAACCTGGGTAGCAGCTACGTAAACTTCCAGTGTCACTCTCTAGTAAAAGTTCTTTTAAAAAACAAAACAGAAGCATTTAACATGGTCTGGTATATTGTGAATTAAAGGTGACATGGCTACAAAGAACAGTGGTAAGTAATTACGTAGCAAAAAAACAAAAAAAAGCCAAACCACAAGACAGGCTATGATTCTTTTCCCCCTCCCTTTCCCTGCTTTTCTCCCTACCAGGAGACAAAGACCAATTCACCTCAGCTTTGACATTGATGCTTTTGATCCTTCACTGGCTCCAGCAACAGGAACCCCTGTTTTAGGTGGATTAACATATCGGGAAGGCATGTATATTGCAGAGGAAATACACAATACAGGTAGGAAGAAATCTTCTGCCTTTAGCTTGATTAAGCCCAGCTGTCAAAGAAGCTACCTAGACAGTACTTGGTTGTAGCTTTATAGTAAGAAGTCTGTTTCTGACACTTCTAAGGAGTTTGTATTAGAAGTTCAGATACAGATTTTGTTTTAATTCTGTATTGATACTATGGGGTCAAACTATAAGTAACCTCAGTATGTTTGGTACTCTTTAACAAAACTAGGTCATAGGCTTACATAAGTAGATGAGCTAGCAGAGAGCTTAGTAAAAAAGTAGAACTGGCTATGTACTGCCAAATACAGAACTACTATTGCTAATCCCAAAGTGTGGCCTACTGCAGTAGAAAGTTGTCCTAGGCTGGCCAGAAGAAGCTAGACAAAGTCTCCTTTTCATTATAAAGTTTGGGTTTCTATGAATTTTAATAATTTTATTAGAAGCATTACTGTCTTCCTGAGCCTGCAGATACACACAGTAACACTCTCTATTCACAGCATTGAGCATCATCATAGTAACAAGTTGCAATAACAAATAACCATAGTAACAGTTGCAGGGGTAGAACCTTTAGTGTGGGGTAGGACTATAAGCCTGTATGCCTATACCATCATCTAGGTCTCCAGCAGTGGTCTGTAGTCCAAGTGATTGGGATATTACTGATCCTTGGGAAAGTTTTAGGTATAGCACAGTTGCTATGCAGGATGTATTAACGATACTGTTGAATAGTAATAAAACCACTGGAAGGAGGGAGCCTGGCGGGGTGGGGGGCGTACCAAGATGCTAGAAGCGCAAACAAATGGCGCTGCCGAACTGCACTGTAGTAAATCTCCTAGTATTTGAAATGAACTTTAGTTTTTCCCAAGGTGTTACCCTGGCCCTCATACTTTGAATTCTTGTAGCATTAACAGGCTGCCGCAAGTCAGGAAGAATCTCTTGTTGGGACTTTTCTGTTGTGTTGTTTAACTATGGTCATTTCTGCTTTGCCCTCAGGAATGCTTTCAGCAATTGACCTGGTAGAAGTAAACCCACTGCTTGGAGCCTCTCAGGAGGAAGTGAAGGCTACAGCCAGTCTTGCAGTAGATGTGATTGCAACATGCTTTGGGCAAACAAGGGAAGGGGCACATACTGTTTTTGATGAACTCCCAACACCTAGTTCACCAGATGAATCAGAAAGTGAAGAGCAAGTGAGGATTTAAGACTTCAAGTGTTGAACATTTCTGAGCTATACAAAGCCACTTGTGCAGCTTGAGCAAGACTGACTCCTGAGCTCTACCAAGCCACTTGTGCAGCTTGAGCAAGACTGACTGTATCAGACATTTGGAGAGTGGAATACTTCTAGGTTAAAAAAAACAACTAGTTTTTCCAGCTGATCAATAACTGCTGTATTATGTACTGAATTTTAATTCATTTAGACATTATGTAAATTGAATGTGTAATAAAACATTTATTACCTTGTTATTATTCTTATCATGACTTCAATCAGTGTCTCTGCATTTTCTCTTTTACCGTCACTTGGTGCCTGCCTAGAGTTAGTAGAGTTTCATTTTGTGTGTGCTGTTGAACCTGACAGTTCAGTCACAGGACCCTTCACTAGGAAGAGCTGTCTCATCCACTTTTCTGGAGCTACTGCCTTCCAATAACTCAGCTACAATGTCCACATATGATGCTTGATGGACAGTAATGAAAACCAGTCTCAGTTTCTGCCGTGAAAGCTCAGCTTTTCCGGAAGAACTTGTAGTAGACCACACCTCCCAAGACGGCTAGTTCCAGGATGATGATAACAGAGAGCAGCAACTTGTTTGTAGTTACTCTAGAGGGGGGGAGAAAGGGAGCTTAGGATCAAGACAGCTAAAACCATATCTGCATCACAGCCGATAAGTTACTTACTGGGTCACCACTTAACTGCTTTGAGGTTAGCACAAGACTGTCTTCCTGAAAACTTGCCTTCCTGAAAAGTATCACTACTGAAACTTAAGCAGCACATCACGTGACTTTCCTTTGATTTCCACCACTACCTTTTCAGTAAACAGAAGCCCACTTTGTAACTCATTGAAAAGTCTACATACAATCTAAATCTTGCCATTAGAGCAGTTACACTGAACCCATCCGGAAAAAGGAACTAGGGCAATGGTTCCAAAGCTTTGTGGGTGGGTCCATGAGCAACAAAATATTAAGTAATGCAGCAAATTTTGCTCTTTCCCACCAGCCTGAATTTTTATTTTTGTGTATCCGTGAGAAACATGTTTCCAGCAATACACAGACTGGAAATCAAACTAGTGGGCAGCTTTGATTTAGTACCACGTTAAAAGTTGTCTTGGATAGAATAAGCCAACTCCTTCCCCCCTTTTCCCCCCCAACCTTGTTTAAAAGTCAATACCTCTCCAGACTAGTAAACAAAACCCATGATCGTTTGGACCTTTAAAAATTTTGGTAAAATTTTAGCTAAGAAAAAATTAAAACAAAATGAAAGTAGTGTTCTGAAGACCCTTGTCAGAACTATTCCTAGGAAACAGCACCGAGTGTACAGATGGTTAGTTTTGATTAAGTTAATTTGGATTCTCCTTAAGCAAACAGGCATCACATGTGAGAAAGGTAATAATATACAAGAACCACGTACACCCTTTTGACAGTTCAATGTGCAGAAGTAGTTAAAATCCAGTGTTTAAGCAAAAACAGTGGAGAGGAGAATGACATTCTACAAACATATGGTATCTTCTCCCATGAGGAGTGTTCATATCTGGTTACCCTACTTCAAGGACAGAGGTCCAAAACAGCTTAATGAAAAAGTGGAGCAAAGGTATTTTATGGATAACATTAAAAGGTTTTAAGATTACATGAGAACCATAGGAGTAGTACCTATTTGCTTTGAAGAAGTTAATTAAAATAAAACAAAAATGTAAATAAAAAAAATAGAAATAACTGCTATAATGCATAAACCACCCATAGAATGTATTTTCATAGAAGTTAGAGGCAAACACAGCCAGAAAGAGAGTTAACAACCAAGGGTTTAATCATCCCTAGTATATCTAAAGATGATAATTGTTAAGTGATAGCAACCTTTATACCTCTGATTATTAGCAGACTGCTGACAAAATGGGAACTAGGAAGAAAGTTTCCCTCACATTCCTTTGGTCTAAACAGCCTGCAACAAGCACTGGTCACTATCAAACAAGTGAACAGAATAAATGTCTCCTTGGTCTGATTAACTATTTCATGTTCCTGTGGTCTCAACTCAGTTTATAGCATGTGCAATCACATACATCATTTGCAGTTAGTGCAACAACATGACAGTGCAATACCAACTAGCAGTTGTGCACTGGAGAGTTTAGGATAGCAGGGAATCGTTAATTTGTATACTACCATTTCTACTCAAACAAGATGAGGTGCCCCCCCCATCAACATAGGGAAAAGAGCCCTTTGCCTTATAGTTGTATACAAGGAAACCTCATTAAATACATTGTTTATCTTTGAACTACTGCTAAAAGCAGTGTGTGCTCAGTAGTGGAAACCAACTATGAAGTTGATTAAATGCAGCCAACACTAAGCATAACTATAAAGCATATGCCCCATACTGGGCAAACACTGATGGGAGCCTATCATAAGGAGAACTTAGTGCAGGCTATCTGAATAAGAATCACGATACTGTCCATTGCATGCAGTCCCCTCCTCAGCACTAACGCTTTTTCAAGAAATGGTGAGCCACAACACTGCATACATTTAGACTTCCTCTTCACTCCCACAGCTGAGCTGCACCTTTCACAGATTCATAAAAGTTTAGGGCTGGGAAGGACCTCGCAAGATCAGCAGGTCCAGCTCCCCTGCTCTGGGCATGAAAAACTGCTGGGGTCAAATAACCCTAGCAAGGTGTGCATCCAGTCCCCTTTTGAAGATCTCCAGTTTCTTCCCCATTTCCAGTGATTCCTGTTTCACAGCCTTAAATGTCTGGCAAACACCACAAAATTGGGCCCCAAACAGTTCACCCAGAATCCTTCTCCTGCCCCCTCTCTCAGCCTACTGCATATGATTAGTGTGACACCACCCTCCATAAAATGGAGCTAGACCAGGTTGCCCTACACCTCATCTGCATATGCAGTTTTGGAGGATCCCAGGACTTGTAACAAGAAGACCTGGATCCAGTCATGAATGGGAAGGCTAATTCGCACATAGATCCTGTGTGGGACAGGTCCAGATGCCCTCTGGAAACTGGCTAATATGGTCCCAATTTTCAAGAAGGGGAGGAAGGAGGACCCAAGTAACTATAGGCCTGTAAGCCTCACCTCAGGGCTCGGGAAGATCTTGGAGAGAATCATCAAGGAGCACATCTGCAGGGGAGATCATGCTCAGGGGCAATCAGCATGGGTTCATCAAAGGCAGGTCCTGCCAGACCAACCTAATTGCCTTTTACGACAAAGTAACTAAATCCTTGGATGATGGTGTCACTGTGGACATAGTCTTTCTAGACTTTAAAAAGGCCTTTGACACTGTCTCTCACCCCATCCTCATCAATAAATTAAGCGACTGCAGCACTGATGCCTGCACAGTTGGATGGGTAAAAAATTGGCTGATGGGGCGCACCCAGAGAGTAGTGGTGGACGGGTTGTACTCAACCTGGCAAGATGTGAGCAGTGGGGTACCCCAGGGCACAGTCCTTGGGCCTGCACTGTTTAACATCATCAGCGACTTAGATGAGGGGGTGGAAAGCACGCTGTCGGAATTTGCTGATGACACTAAGATGTGGGGCAAGGTGGACACACTTGAAGGGAGAGAGAGGCTGCAACTAGATTTAGACAGACTGCAAAAGTGGGCAAATAAGAATAGGATGGGGTTCAACGTAGACAAATGCAGGGTGCTGCACCTTGGGAGAAGGAATCCACAGCATATATAACAGGCTGGGGAGTTCCCTTCTTGAAAGCACAGAGGCGGAAAGGGATCTTGGAGTCATTATGGACTCCAAGATGAACATGAGCCGCCAATGCCAGACCGCAGCCAGCAAGCCCGGCCATACATTGTCATGCTTCCAGGACAGGCCCTGTGAGGAAAGACTGAAGGACCTGAACCTGTTCAGCCTCAGCAAGAGGAGGCTGAAGGGGGACCTGGTGGCTGCCTACAAGCTCATCAGGGGGGATCAACAGCAAATAGGCAGAGCCCTTTTCTCCCCAGCACCACCTGGGGTGATGAGGAACAATGGTAATAAGCCAATGGAGAATAGGTTTAGGTTAGAGATCAGAAGGCAATATTTTACAGTTAGAGTGGCCAAAATCTGGAACCAGCTTCCCAGGGAAGTGGTCCTTGCCCCTACCTTGGGAAAATTCAAGAGAAGGTTGGATGATCACCTGTTTGGGGTCTCGTGAACCCAGCATTCATTCCTGCCTGTAGCAGGGGGTCAGGCTAGATGATCTGTTCAGGTCCCTCCTGACCCTAGCTACTGTGAAACTTATGAAAAAGGGGGTATCTGAAGTACATACACATCCTGAGCAATGCTGAGCTGTGGCATCACCATGGCTTGAAATGCTGTTGACTCTGCTGGGACCCAGCCCAATGAATAATATGATAAATCATGAGCCTTTTGGCTTTGGACTCTCATCATGCCTAGTTTGCAAGGAACAACTGCTTAAAAAGTCTTTATGTGCTAAAGCTTGCAGCAATTTCATAGAAGGTAAAATACAGCAGTTTTGGATGAGCTAAAATCTATGGGTACCTACAGTAATTTGGCTATATGCAAATTACTACAGGTATTTTTATTTCAAGGTTAGCATTTTCAAGTTTCCCCCTCATTTCCATGTGCTCAAGGAGAGCAGGGTCTGACAGTAAGGGGTTGGGGGAAAGGGCTGCAGGGAAAAGAAGCTGGGGGGGGCCAGAAGGGGAAGGGCAAAGGGGTTACCTGACTCCCCAGATTTCAGTTTTCCCTGCCATAGCAGTGGGAAGGGGATAAATTCAAGGCCAACCTCCAATAAATAGGTTCTATACTGGGAAAATTATATGGAAAATTTATAAATTTGATATATAGAATCTAAATTATTCAGGGGTTCTCTTATATTTGAGTAAATATGGTACTATATTACTCTATGAGCACTCACTGAATAAGATTCTACAGCACTTGCAGAGAAGAAAGAGTGCAAGTCCATTTTATTCAGGAAAAAATGAATATGTTATATGTTTTTCTCCTAAATCCCTCCAGTTTCAGCTAAATAAAGACTACCATGTTACTGTCCAAAATTGATGTGCAACACTACTCTCTGTTATAAAACTAATTCTGTGTTCTATTAGAGATGGTTGTTTTCAGCTACTGGGTGAAACAATTCATGCACCAGTCTTCTGGCTGCATCTTTCTTTGAGATTTTAAAATAAAGAGCAAACCTGTCCAGGACTGATTATTAGAAAATAGTACTGCTCTATTTTTTTATTTTTTTTTTAAAGTTCAGTCATGCTACTCACCTTCTGGACATGGAACGAAGGATCTTACGACTCTTGCTTAAGTTCTCATTTGTGTTCACCAACTAAGAAAAAACAAAAACAATACAAACCCACAAGTTACTTTCCATTTAGTCTGAATTATGTAGTACAGAGCCAAATGTTGTTCTGTTCCATCAAAGTGTGCCACTGAGATCACAATGAATAAGCAAGAAAAGATCTGGGTTCAAAGGAATTCAAAAAATCTTGATGTCCAGAAACAGTTCATTCTTGCTCGATCACTCAAGACTTGAGAAACAGATGAGTTACCTAAAAAACTGTATGTCAACATTCCCTTTTCTCAAGGTGTATGCTGCTGGGAGTGATTACCTGAAAACAAGATTATCACAACTGGAGTCAGTGATGAGACAAACTCATGCTAAGCTTGGACCTACTCACAAAAATTAAAATACAGAATAATAATGCTAACTGCATAATGCAAGAGGATGCGAGTTCATGACTAGGCCATCTAAGAAAGAATAATGAAGTCTCTCTTCCAACTTATCTTGTTATATTCAGGATGATTTCAGGCAGACTCTTAGTTGTCTGGTATGTAATCATATGAAATGTCTATCTTTGATTAATTAGTATGGTAAATATTTCTTTTGCGACTAACTCGTGTTTATGTGCAGGAAGAGACATTCTCCATATGTAATAGATGTCTCCTCCTGATTTAGTATGTTTTTTCCTGGCTGTTAATCAGTTTCTTGATATGTTTCAAACTTGATAACCTCTTGTTACTGAAGAAGGTAACTCATTCAAATTAGAAATTTCTGATAACCAGTAAGGAGCAGGTTTTTCCTGTCAATTACTGCTTGGGACTCTCTTGATTTACACAACTAAAAGAACACTTTGAAGATGCTAAACTAAGCGTATAAAAAGGCAGTAAAACAGCAAACAGCGTGTGCGCTTCAAGAGTGAGAAATCTCTCCGACACTAGCTGCTGATGTGCCCGACTTACTCGAGAAGTTGAAGAGAAACAGACCGCCTCTTCGTTGCCTGTTTGGTGAGAAATCATCACCTTTTAGCTAATTACTGGACTCTGGTTTGGTTTGGGCTCACCTGACTTGATTTTAAATACTTGTAGTACATAAAGCCTTTCTGTCACTCATTGAACAAGGTGTCGTGTCAATCCCTGGGCTAGTCTGGAATCCTAGGTTTTTATTTGCTAACAGTCAGCTACCTTCTCCTTGTAACAGAGTAAAGACAAAGTTGCTCTTCAAAATATTTTTATTTTCATAAATTCTAATATTATAAAAGCCTAAGTCTGTCTGTCCGTAATGCTTTATTTGCACTCCGACTGGCTGACGGAAACAGCCAGTCAGAGTGCTCCAAGCATGGGGGAGTGCCACCATGTTTCCGAAGCCACGCCAAGGACCGGACAGAGGGTGGGGGAGCTACTGGCCTCAACTCCCCCACCCCGCTCCCTGCAAGAGGCAGAACAGCAGTAGCATGGGGCGTTAGGTGGCGGCACTCCATCCCAGCCTCCACCCCCGCCAGTCATTCTTGACGGGCAAAATCGGCTAGTTGTCTTATAATTTCTATTTGGAACAAAGATTAAAATAATCAGTGCCTGAAACCCACTGAACTGTTTCAAAGCATTGATGAACAGTAATTTAACAAGGTACTTGACAGAGCTTACTCTTTCTTCCAGACCATTAGGGATAAAGGAGCATATCAGCAATATCTGTTGAGGACACTATATTGGAATATCTGATCACAAGTGAAGCAACAGAAAGGGGTGAGAAATTAAATGCAGCTTTCATGAGTTAATTCAGAAAAGGCCAGATACATCTGTAGGATATTATCTAAAGGATACTTAATAGAAATGAGAAACCTGGGAGGAAACAATGCTAAATTATCTCACTTGTAGCAGATAAGAGGCACAGGCCTACTGGGAGTGCACATCCCCCTTCCCCTCTACCCCAGCTTGTGTCTCACCCCCTGACACCTCCATTTCCATTTTCACTGACTGGCTTTCTTGCTTGCACTGTATGCCAGCCTCTAGCTTCTTTACTATTCCTTCCATCCAGGAAGAGCACACACACATACCAACTAGATGCTTCCTCAGCCTGACAAAGGATTTTAAACCCGAAAGCTCGTGCCTCACAGGCGGCATCCCAGGCAGCTAAGCTGAGCTCACCTGGAGCTTCAACTCCACTGCAACTAGCAAGCCTCAGGCCTATCAAAGACATGATGGGTCTGGGCTTTCCCCAGCCAGGACTGTACATGCGTGTGGTGGCTGGAGGTTATGGCACCTCCTACCTGCCTTTCACAGGGAGATCCTTAGTCCTGGCATTTCCTGGGGCTGCCACACCACTGGCAGTCCCACCAGGTTTCCCAACCCTGGCAGGGTGCAGTTTTAGTGGTCATGCCTAGGGCCTGGGGCCTTCTCCTTCCCCCACAGCCCCAGCCCATAACTCAAAGTTCATCCTGGCACAGGAGCTCAGCAGGGATATGTTCTTCCCCTGCTGGCTGGTGATGCAGTGAGTGCCGTCTCCAGTTCGGAGAGCAGGGCATTAAATATTTTAAAAAGGAAATAGGTGCGGACAGAGTGACGAGGGTGGCACTCACTCCATCTGCAGGTGGAGCTTGCAGAACCCCAGCAGTGGGAGGTTCACCTTCCAGAACACCAGCTGCTCCACCAAACCAGATCAAAGCAGGTGCGGTGGCATGTCACAATGTCCCCAGCAATGCCGAACACTGGTCAGCGGACAGGACACGTGTTCTCGGGCAACCGTGGCCAGATCCTGCCACATCTGGCTGCAGGCCACCCATTAGGCCAAGGGGTCGCAGTCCAGTAGCTCCACATCCTTGGCAAGATAGGTAGCCACTGAAGCCTCGGCGCTACCTGCCCAAGGCTGGGGTCTGGTGTGTTTGGACCCCAACATTGAAGCCATGTCCTTGGTCCACACTGGCAGCAGCTGGCGTGGAGGCGACTGGTCACCTCTGCCCTTCTGCCTCCCTGACTCTGTTCACCAGCACCTCCGTCCAGTGATCAAGGGTTTTGGTGCCGCCAGTGCACATGCTCCCCTTTACCCTTGGGTCGCACATGCTCACCAGCATGTGGACTGTACTGGACCACAATGGATCCTGGACCACAACGGATTCAGCTGTTTCCTGACGCCCTCCTTCAGCCATCTCACCAGTGCCTGCACATCTAATGACAGCTGCTTGCCCCAAGCAGGAACACTGATCCCTTGGAACATCTCCATTTGGTTCTTAAGTTCCCTCACTACAGGGATCACCTGGCTAAAGTGGACATCGCCAATACTGAGGGTCTCGGTGGCCTTGAGGAACAGCTTGAGGATTACCAAGATCTGGGAGATGGTATCCCACTCCACTTTGTTAAGGGGAGCATTGACCCCAATCTTCCCAAGCAAGGCCATCTCATGGATGGCCTTTTGTTGCTCCACCAGCCTTTGCAGCATCAAGTATGTGGAGTTCCACCGAGTCTCCACATCCTGCATGATTTTGGCCTGCAGGATGCTCAGCTCTGCCTGTTTCTCCTGCAGCATCTTGCCCCCCTTGATGCTGCCATGGAAGTAGCCTACCACCCTCCTGCATTTTGAAATCAGCTGGGTGGTAGTGATGGGCCCATCACTGGCAGCCCTGTCCCCCTCCAAGGCTTCCCTATGAGGTGCAGCTTGTGTGCCACACAGTGGATGCCAACATATTAGCCTCATTGTCGGTGACCACAAACCCACAAGTGAGCTCACCAGCCCAATGAGCCACCCCTGCACCATGCAGTTCATGGCCATCATGATCTCCCTTGCCTTGTTGGACTCATCCATCACCTCAGCTTGAAGGAGTGCCTACCGACAGCCTGACTGATCGCACCAGTGCCCTGTGAGGGAGAGGTAGGCATGATATCCACCCTGGCTGCTCCAGATGTCTGAGGTGAAGTGCAAGGTTACCTGCAGCCCTGCCTTGCACAGCTCCTCCCTCAAGTACTCCCTGCATGCCTCATGCAGGGAGGCCACCAC